CATTCGATGGACCAGCCACGGGTAATTGTTGATTATTTTGCTCATTTTCTTGGGATAATTTTGGTCTCTTAGGTGCATTGGCTTCGGTTTCTTGATAGTACATCTTTGTGAACGTATATTCGCCGAACGATTGAGTAGTTTCACTGTGAAAATAATTACAAAATTCAATCAATTTCACTTTTAAATGTTTCGACGATGCTTTAAAATAGTTCAAATCCAACCAAGACTCGTCTTTCAATCAAATTTTGGTAACAAGCCCGAAAAATGGAATGCGTCAAACAAGTACGACTAACGACTAACGACTGTGTACAAAGTGCCGACTTTTATAACTAGTAAACAATGGACTGTTGTTATTTTGAGATGAAGTTAGCGCTGTTTTGATCATTAGCTTGTAAACGCAATATGAACGCAGAACAATCGATCCCATACGTTTTTGTCTTTATCACAAGGTTTGTGTTCAAATGAGCAAGGACTCATCCGGATAACTTTTTAAGTTTTGAGAACTTTTCTACATCGTTCAGTTCAATAAAAATTCACTCAATTTCAAATTTGATCAAATTTATGGATTTTTGGAATTACTCAAATTGTTCCTTACAATAGAACTGACAATTGATGTATCAAAAAAATTTGTGATTCTTCCGCACACAAACCATTGAATCATTTCAAAATCATTCTCCGAAAGAACGGCTGAGATAAATGAATAATGAATTTATTGGTTCAAACATTTTGTACAATCGAAAAGTGTCAGATACTCTCCAAGAAAATTTATGCATTCACACGTTTTCACCGCAAACGACTGGTAAACCAAGACAAAACATACCGCTTTCGCTATCTCTATCTAATCTCTCGTGCCCAGCATATATTTGCAACTCGTCTGCATCCGGCGAAAGATTCAATCGACGATATGATTTCGGTATAATTTTCTTTTTATTGCTATGAAAAATTGAAATAGAAAATCTATTAAAACGTATGCCACAGCTCGATTGAAATAATTTTGGGCAAATTTTAAATAAAAAAAAATAAGTGATTAAACACAGTTAGTGGTACCATCCAAAATTTGCACTCTATTTTACATACGCCTTTAACCGTTTACCTACTTTCCTCTTTCTTCTCTTTCGGTTCGAGAAAGAGTATCAATGCAATCTTCTGTCAATGCGAAACAGTAAGACGAAAAGTATTTAAGCGATATGAAATGAACGAAATATTATACCTATTCTCCCCTCTTACCTTTGATGTACGTGAGCTGTGACATGATCTCAAATGCCGCATTCTTTAGCTATAATTACGCTTGGTTGTTTTAAGACGATTAAGAATCAACAATTAGAACTGTATGTGTTATATAACACAATGAAAATACCCAATGAAATTTCATTTTGAAAAAATGTGTTCGCAGTGCGTTTTTATTTATTAAAATTCATTGAATGAATGATGGAATAATAATGTGCAAAAAAGTAGAACTATATAGTTTTTGGAATGACCAATTAAATGGAAGGGAAAAGTGCGGCATGCTATTAAAAATTACGGTGCGTGATGCGCGCATCACAGGTGCTAAATGCACGAACACCGTTCCATACACACGAAGTGCGTGTGTGTGTGTGTGTGTGATGAGTATACTGCTTAGTTGAAGAATTTTTTGAATTCGGCTAGTCCAGCTTCGTTGATGTCATAGCCTGGTGTGGTGGCCTTGCATTTTTCGTACCACGCAACAACGTTTGGATATTTCGAGAGATCGAAACCGGCAACATCCAATGTTGAAACGGTAGCGACTAATGAAATATCAGCAACGGTCAAATTGTCACCGGCCTGTAAAATACCGAAACAAAACAATTAAAATTAGCGTTAGTCTTTTGTGTTTGGTTTTCTTTCCTTTCACTCCATAACGGGTTCCTTTTCAATTTGGATCATTTGGAATTTCTTAACTTACCGCATAGGTTTGGCCTTCCAAGAAGGTGTTGAAAAAACCAACGGCATCTTCCAATTTCTTCAAATTGTCTGGATTTGCTGGAGCTTTGGCAAAGATTTGTGGGTAGTAGAAATCAGCCAAGCGTTGATACAATGTACCCAAGTCGAAGTACAATCGTTGGTTAACAACGGCGCGGGCCTTTGGATCCGATGGATAAAGGCTTACGGTTTTACCGTACCTGTTGGAAATAGTAGAAATAATAAGAAATAACTATGTTCTGGAATATAATGAAAATGTTCGTTTTAATGTTTCTCTGTTGTGTGTTTATAATATGAAGGTTTGCTTACTGTTCGACTAAGTAGACCATAATGGCGCGTGATTCCCAAAGAGCAAATCCATCGTCGACCAATGTGGGAACGGTATGTTGTGGGTTAATCTGTTGAAAAAAAAAAAACAACAACAAATGTCAAGCGTGAATGATGCGATCAAAGCATAGAAAATTAGTTTGTCATTGTTGGGTTTTTTTTTCTATCGCTCATTCGAAAATATCAAATTATGCTATTTTGTGACGAGTAATTCAATTACTCAATGCTGTGTACACACTTTACTGTCTTATCTGCACTCAATAATATTTAAAAGAAAAAAAAAGAACCGAAGCCACGCTATTTTATGTAGAGTAAACGATATTGATCGAATTTGTTAGAATTTAATACCAAAGTAAGTACCTTAATGTATTCAGGCGTCAAGTGTTCACCAGCCATCAAGTTTGTTAGTTTCAAGTTCAAATCGACGCCAACAGCCTTAGCGGTCATTTGAACAGCACGACATGGAGCTGATCCAGGGACGTAGTAGAAGTCAAGACCCATTTTGAATTAGATTTAGTTTTTTTACCTAATACAAAAGAAAAGAAGATCGAAAAAAATTAGTTTTTTTCTTACACACGCCCATCTTACGAAAAACCTTCTATATACTTTAACTGCGTAAAAGAACAATTAAGAAGAACCGCTATGCGGCGAAAAATTCTACAATCAATTTTTTTTTTTTTTCCAAATCTAATAAGAAAATAGTTCGCAAAATTTATTAACACTAAACAAATCACTTTACTTTTTTCAACAAAATAAAATCTTCAGAAATATATGCTATTTTGTATTAAAAAAGATGGAAAAAAATCGAAACGAAATATACTTGTTGCGAGAACTGAAGAAACAGTGAATTTCTGTACGGCTTTATGGAAATGCGAGCGTCCAATAACTAATGCTCATCGATGCAAGCGAATGGCTTCATATAGGAATTCTGACACTTTTATGTATACGTGCAAGCAAGCGAACGCCGCAAATCATTCGATGGTTCTGTTTCACTCATTCGCATTCACCATATACACAAAACGGACGCTTCATGTTCCACTCGCACCATACACTTGTCGTTGTGTAGGTTGTTGTATGCTATACGTACAGTTTAGTGTAGGTAAACTGGTTTTTGTTCGAAACAAATACATTGAACGCGATTGAACGGAATGGTAAACCAGAATGCCGCCGCTTACAAGCAGAGAAAAACACCGAAATGAGCAAAAGAAGAAGAAAAATTCCATCGCATCACAATTAGTGTGTATTATTTTTCGAATGTATGGTCGGCAATATAATCTGATGACGGGATTTCCAACAAGTTTGACTAATTTGGAGTCACGTCACTCGGTCGGTCGCTCATCGGTCGCTTGAGAAGTAGAAGGGACACACATACAAGAACAAGATATACGATGATCGATTCGCATGAGAGAGAAGAAAAAAGAGCACATACAATGGTATCATTAATTCCGCAAGAAGGAAACTGGACAATCATTCGACGTTGTGTAATGGAAAAAATCCCATGAAAAAAATTGAGCCAAACAAGAAAACATGCCAAATGACTCATTGACTTGTTGATTTTTTTTTTCGAACTGAATTTGGATTATATATTCACACACTGAACATTCATCTGGGTTTTAGTAAATGATTCAAAAAAGATCTCGAAAGAATACCGTAGAATATCAACATAGCCACACATTTGAGTGTGTAGATTCGTCATAAGCATAATATCGTCGTGTGAGACGCAAAAATAGCAACAGATGAGTTTCGCGTTTTTAGATTCATTATTATTATTATTATTATTATTATCGACGTCACTTGGCCGCTCTAGACGAAATGTGAGCGAACGAATGATTTTTATAATAAACCGCTTAGTCAATGATGATCTCGCAGTTTGGACGTCAGTTGGGTTTTTTGGTTTTTATCTATTGAGCGCTATCGCGCCGCAGTGTTGTCTTCCGATCATTACGTATTTTTATGGTTGCCGAATGACAATTAACACGATTAACTTCCTTAAACGTTGTTGATTCAATCGGTAAAAATCTATAACGTGTGATAAAAATACCAAACGATTCATACCATGTTAGAGCATATCCCATTTCTGGGCGATTGGCATCGATCAACCGAATGTAAATTAGTTCGCTTATCAAAAAAAAATTACCCAACTTAATCAACCATAAAATTTCGATTGCTCATTCAGTAGGATGTGGTGCATTTGCCGAAGTATGGGTATGGCAACATGCAAAATCCAAGGAGAAAATCGGTGCGTATAATTTTCGGGGCATTTGCCTGGTAAAAAGAGCAAGAGTACATTTGAATTATTTTTTTCTGAAAATTCTTAAATTTTTCTCTCTTATACACACTGCGACCAAAAATTCACTTCGCATGGAGCGAAGAGCGTATAACAAATTCTAAAAATAGTTTTACAACACGCGACAAAGTACCGCCGCGAGAAATTAGAGATCTAGATTTTGACTATTCATCTCATTGAGTGGAGTAATTCAAAGAACAGAAACATAAACAGCGGCTAACATCTGAAAATGCCGCATTAATTTATATTCTGAGTGACATTTCATAACGGAATTTATTGTTTTATTAATTGGATGTTCTTATTTTATTTTAATTAGTTGTTAAAACATATCGCGTTTTGGAGGGTCAGAATGCGGAGGAACACAAGGAACGATGTAATCGCGAAGTTGAAATGATGACCAACAACATTCGACATGTGAACATTGTTCGTGGCTTGAAAGTAAGGCCAGATAACTTCCTCAGCGAGTTATTGAAAGCAAATCCAACGGGAATGCCAGCTTTGATCACTGAATATTACGAAGCCGGTAATTTGAGGCGACAGTTGAACGATAATCGCAATTCGTCGGGGATGCTTGAGTCAGAAGTGAGAAACATTTTGCAGTCATTAAAAAATGCGCTCTTCTACTTGCATTCACTGTCAAAAGTCCATCGAGATGTTAAACCAGAAAATGTAGTAATTCACTTGACTAACGATGGACAACGAATCTATAAGGTATGGAGCTATGAAATAATTAGGAATATTATTCTGAAATGTTAAATTAGTTAATTTCCAATTAATTTTGCAGCTAACGGACTTGGGCTGTAGTAAACCGAAAGATTTCCGTAATATCGAAGCGAGTTTAGTTAGTAAAATGGTATATTCGGCTCCGGAGCTCATCATATCTGAGAAACACAGTTATTCAGTAGATTATTGGTCAATGGGTATGGTTATCTATGAAGTGATTACCGGAACCAGGCCGTTTGTACCTCATTTACCACTGGCACAATGGATTTTGCGCGTTCGAGCAAAAGAATCGAAACATATAACGATGTATGAAGATGATGCTGGTAAAATCGTATATTCAAATGAAATTTATGGTGAAAATCAGATATCGACAATGTTCTCGAAACTATTGGAAACATGGTTTAAATTGGCATTCGAGTGGAATAAAAAGCAAAGGGGATATGTTTTCGAGAGACCTACTATCGCCACGAATTCTGAATTGGCCGATTCGCCACCAGTTCAAGTGTTGAAGTTTTTTCAAAGTGTGGACGATATTTTGGAAAAAAAGATCCTTACTATATTTGTGTTGACAAACTACACGTATCTCAGCGTAGTAATTGATAACAACACGACCAATGACGATTTATTTGCATTTATCGAGCAAAAAGCGCATATTCCCACATCACAGTGTCACATAATTATGGCGGCCGATTTGACTAAACAATTTACTAAACCGATTGAATTATACGTGGATGGATGTTTCGATAAACCAATGGTATTTGTACTACAAACTGGTGGCATTGCATCACTTGATAAACTGATTGATGACGACCCAATTGCCGTCGAATTGCCCGCTAGTGTGAGAAATGTGCTTGCAAATCAAGAGAAACGACTCAAAACACAATCACTGCGAAAATTTGCCTGTGATACATTACATTTTGTACGCAATGAGAATCAAAGGTATAAAACATGTTTAGACGGATGGTTCCATTTTGCGTTGCAACTCAATTATGACATTGAAATGTGCCTACAGAATGTCAAGCAAATGCAAATGCTAATCTACGGTGTATGCGGTGCTCTTGATCTTTACAAGCAAACATTGGATTTGGTGCAAGTAAGAAATGCCAATTTGGAGGCCAGTTGGTTGGATCAACATGAAAAAATATCGCAAAATATCGAACGACTGGTGGAGGCTTGCGACAAAATAACCATTCGATTTGGTTCAGTATACCGGCGAATTCGCGAAACGAGCAATTGTGACATTTTATTGAATAGAAACACACGTGATTTCTACGATATTATCAATGCAACAAAAGCGTACGATGCGCTTTGCAAGCAAATTATGAATAACAACACTCATCCAAAGCCACACTTTGAATTGTTTCAATGCGCCTACAAATGTCTTAAGCAACGTGAATCCCTTCTGCGGAACAAAACTTTCATCGAAATGCAAAGGTACACCGACCGATTTCATATATGGCAAATTAACTGTTTGCATATTCATTTAAAAAAAATTCGGTTTTTTTTTCATTTTGGTTTTACATTAGAAATCTCAACTGCATACATATCGAGTTTAATGAAATAAAAAAAGCATTGGAAAAGGCAACAGTACCAGCAGAAAAATACCGAAATGAATTAAATGAAGCGAATAAACAGTTGCATGAGCACGCATGGTTTCTGGTAGAAAAGTGCCTTAAACCTGACATGAACACCGTATCGACGAGCAACTCCGATTTGACACTCACTACCACCAGCATCCCGAATGGCAGTGTTGATCCGCAAGCGACCAACGAAATGATGATTGAGATGCGCAAAGTTCGAGAAATGGAGCGCCAAATCACTAAAGATCACTTGAAAAAAACTAAATTACTCATTGATGACAACATTAATCTTCGCATCAAGTATGTGAACATGATTTTAAACAAATATGTTTGAAAATATGATGTGGTTTAATTCAATCTGTTGAAAATGATGAAAAAAAAATAATTTCTCTCTAGAATGGCCGATGTAATGAACGAGATTAATGAAGAGCTTAAAATTAAGCCAAACTGAAAGAAAACCAAAGAAAAACTTATGCCAAAGATGATTTACTCTCATAGAGACTAACTGAAGATAAATTTAAATAGCAAACCCTTCGTTTTGAATCAAAGCAATTTTGGAATAAAAAATTACAAAAAATAAAAAAATGTTTTTTTATTTTAAATTTATTGTCTCCTTCAAATGAATCTTGGTTTTGAAGCTAACATTTTGAAACCGCTTGAAAAATCGCCATAAATGAAGGCAATTTAAATCAATAAACATATACACAAACAAGGACCAATTTTTGTCCATGTCTATTATTTTAGTATTTTCTGTTATTACAAACAAAAAAAGAGATGGTAACACGACTGAAATGCGACTATCTAATTACTTTATGAAGCAAATTGTTCCACGTATTGATTCCATGATGATAATCATTTCGAATTAAAATTCCGTTTAGATGTTGTTATGATGCGATTAAGAAATCAATGATTGAACAAATTGATGATCTAAAACATCATTTAGATGCATAACATATTATGTTGTTATAATATGAATTCATTTTAGAGATCTGAAAAATGATTTTATTAACTTCCAAAAAAATGCTGTCTCGCTTTTTTTTTGTCTCGGATCCGATCTAATAATTTTCAGCAAAATAAACAAATCCTTGAACAAATTTCTCACTTGGTGAGAAAAAAAAGTATTTTGAATTTTCTACCGCGAAAATTAAAAATTATGTAGCTCCGTTTCGAGAGAAAAAAACAGCTACCTTGATTTTTTCCAAATTTCCATTCAAAGTAACAACTTTAATGAACATTTAATTATCGCAATCGATGTGTTCGGGAAACGTAAATTAAACAAGAGACCAACAATCAAAAGCATTTTTTATGATTTGCGGTGTGCAAACGCATGTTCAAGTAAAAGAAAGAAAAAAGATCATTGATCAACAACTTGAATAAACAATGAAGAATTCAGTTTTTCGCCCGTTTTCACTGCACTGGTTGCTCTGCGCAGACGTTGTTTTTGCAAACCATATCATCGAAGCGAAGCGTTGGCGGCGGCGGTGGCGGCGGCTTGGTTGATGCTCCGCAACAAACAAACGCATTTAAATTTGTACACGAAACAAACAATAACATGCTTCGGTAAAATCTAAGAATTGAATAAAGGCAGGTAGCGCTCGCTCGCATGTATAAGCATTGAAGACAAAATAGTGAACGAGAGTGAGAGCGGGAGAGAGAGAGAGTGAGAGTAAAAAAAAATCGAGAATGGAAAACCGTTACTATTAACAATGACCTTAAAATTTGCGGTTGTTCACGTTTGTGCAGCGAAAACGATTTGTTTTCGTTCAAATGTGCAATCCATAAGTGCGTCGTAAGGTTCATCAACATGTTTCTTTTTTTTCTCTTCATTTTCAATTGTATTGTTCTCTTTACGCTCTTGATATTATTAAAATGTAAGGAACCAAAACAATCATGTATGCGATATATTTATTTCATCGATACGATTCCAAGCTGAATGAGCAAGTTGCATAAAAAAGTGATTGGAAACAATGACGCGAATAGCCGATTGTATATCAAGTATAATTCCGAGCTAACGTATAATTAAACCCGTGAGCATAAAAACGACTTATAAAAACGTCGCCGAACAAAGCGAAACACCTATTTGTTACTCGTTCAATTCGGAAAAAATTGTACACTGGTATGTTACGCCGACAAATCTATGTTACGTTTTGATCGGCGATTTTTTTTTAAGTCGTTTTTATGCTGACGGGTTCAATTATGCTCATTTCTTTCCAGTCGGAGTGACTTCTTCATTGATGGCGGTGGCGGCAGCCAAAGAGAAATGCGGCGCCCAACTGAATTGAGATGTAATTGAAGAAAACTTTACTGTTGCTAAGATGTTTAATTTTCATCCATCTTTTTCATTTTGGCTTGAGAAAATAACTGGTTGAAAGTGATACTCACCCTGTCTGACGTTTATCAGTCAAAATGTTGTCAATCACATCATTTTTCTTCAATTTAGAACTGATTGCGAGAATGAAAATGGTGCAAATGACTTGAAATTCGAGTGTAGTTTATTGTCAGGCCAGAAACGAAAACTAAAACGAATTCGGTGATAGACAAAAAGAGATATCGCCCGCCGTGTTTCGTGTTTTATCTCAAAATCCGACATCACACAATTGTTTTTCTCATTTCGAACTCACGTTTGGAATTCTTTAAGCACCCGACGCCAGTTTTTGGCCTCGTCTTAATTTTCATTTTCGCATTTTTTTTTCTTTCTTTATCATCGTGTTTTCTTTTCTGCTGGCTTCTGCAAGCAAAACGCAATATATAAGTATAACGAAAAAATACAAAGTATCTACTATCGGAGTGGAGTAGTTTATTGTTATCAAATGCAAACAGAAAAACCGAAGATTTTTTTTCTGCTTCTCTCTTTGTGGTTTTCATTATCTTCTGAAGAATGTTGTGCTGCAAATTGTATGTATTGTTGGGCATATTGAATGGATCACGCTCATCCCGTTGTGGTTTCATCTAGTAATTATGTGCAGTTGCATCGTGTGCAATGCGGTTCATGTGTATTCAATGAGTGCACTAAGCGCTCATCGTATAGAGACCAAAAAGTTTTCAGTCGCATAAAATTCGCGAAACATTGCGATTATTGAATTGGTTATTATTTCTCTCTTGTGCAAGCAGAAGAAAGAGAGAAAGAAAGACCAGACTAGAAAAGGAAAATGAAGAGTACACAAAACAAAATACACATACCACATAAACCGCCATTTGGCGAATGTTCGGCATGTGAATCTACATTTAAAATATTTTGATGCTCATCTAAGTCGAGCAATTGCACATTCAAACAACACCTACGCAATACACACTAACAACAACAACAGCCACAGCATTCAATTCAACCATCAAGTTCACATCAATTCGTGGCGCGTGGACACCGAAAATCACACACACACACACACACATTGAAGCTAAGACGATATATTTTGTGCAAAGTAGAGGCAAGTTGGAAAAATGCAACTGTTAGCGCCATGCGTATTGTTTTATTATGTTTGTGTTGCTCACATTGGTGGATTTTGTTTATAAAAGTGCAAGCAATGCATTTGATATACATTAGTTAAACCTTTGCCGTGCACCAAACAACGTTATAAAGTAAGCTCAATTAAAAAGCAACCATAACAACAACAGAAAAATCCACCACTTTGGATTCGACCCTTTAGTTTCATGTAGAAAACATTGCCATCATATGGAAAACTACCTCCGAAAGCTACTGCACACACACTAAACGGATACATGAACAATTTATAACCCTTTATCTTTGTGCAGCGCCAGGAACTTTTTTGTGGATATATTTGTGGACCGTTTCGAATTTGTGATTTCAGTTCTTTCAACAAAAGTGAATTTAGTGTTTTGTATTTGCATCCAGATTGTTTGTCTGAATCCATGATTGAAGAAGGATTTAGAAAAAAAAACGGAGAAAAGGTTCTGACAAATCATCATTGAAACCAAGGAGCAAAGACAATAATACTCATTTCTAGTTCGCATTTATAGTTTTACTAACAATTTCGAAAAACAAACAAACAACAAAAAACATTAAACGAAAAATCACGTTTGAATTTACGTATGTTCTTTCACAGTTGTGCTGGCTGTAGCTTTTCTCTCTCGCATTCTCGTTTGGAATAATTGTTGATGTGAATGAACGATTTGATCAAAGCGCATCGAGAGTGTTTTCACGATCGCTGAAACCAAAATTTTGATTCTTTGATTGAATAAAACGGAACGAAAAACCAAAACAGAAAAAAAAAACTCAGAAAACACTACCACTCAAATTAGAAGCCAAATCAGGCGACCAAGTACCATCATTCGGAGGACATTATGTATGAGAAATATTTCAAATGTATATTTCTTCTTACCATATGGATTGGATGCAAAGCAAACATCGTTAACGAGTAAGTATTGGAAATATCCACTGTATAGTCTGTCTGTTTTATTTTGTGGAACATTATAGCGAAAGTAATATAAAATTTAGCACTGGCTATTCTGGCAATTGAACGGCATCCATACTAATTTTTTTCAATTCACCTTGACACTACATTCTCTTGAATATTTGAAGAAGAAAAAACACAAATACACAATACTTCTTATTCGACAGCACAATATCCGTAATAGAATGAATGAATCGGTACAATCCAGTGTGAGATCGTTATTTTGTTCCCTTTTGCAATGGTTTCGCTTATCTTAATTGATTTATCTCTTGGTTTGAAAGTATTTAATTAAAGCAACAAAATTACTTGCTACATTGCAACTTGCAACCAAATAAATGGTTCAACTCAAATCACGTAATTAATATCAAATGGAAAGGGTTTTTCTTCGATTTTTTTTTTTTCATTATCTGTGTGCGCATCTGTTGATTGCAAGCGAAACAAATTCGAATTGCAGCAAGAAAGCAAACTGTTGCTTTCGTTTCGACGAAATGAAAGAAAGAAAAAAGAAGAAGAAGAAAATTCCGCGATTAACTTGAAGTAATTTTGAGTAAGACCAATTAATATCGTATCGTGCATAGGCCGTTGATCACAATAATGATCACATTTTGGATATTGCTTTTTTTTTAAGACGAAAAATCGAGTTCACCGAATGAAATGGAAAGTCAGGTGATGATAACACATACAGTACGTGTTCGGCAAGCCAATTTGGAATGGATGACATCAGAATGCCTGAAAACCTCAATCGTTATGTATAACACACAGACACACACACATACGTATGTTGGTGACTTTAATTCATCTGTGATGATCTAAAGCATAAAATGCATTTCATTCAGTATTTATTGGATTGGATGCGAACCAGAAAAAAAAACAAAACCAGAATATAACTCTTACGCTCATCTCAAGTTCATTGCACCATATTCCCCGACATTTAAGCGAAACCAAATAAATCCCCATGGAATTACCATAATTACGAAATGAATTTCGATTTTTATGATTTTTTCGTACACGACGAAGCGAAAGGCGTATCTGTTAGCTTGTGCTCGCTCGCTCTTCGTATGCACTGCTCCGTGTGCCCAAAGTAAAAGTCCGTTTTTAAGTCAATCAATAAAGTGATAGTCAACGAAAGACAAAATGAACATAAATGAAGTACATAATTTTGGAGTTTATTTTTTTTATTGGCAATTTATTTCAATACACAAAGCTCCTTCTACGGCTCGCGCTCTGGACTCTTTATACAAATGCTTAATCTGATTTATGGGGTGTGCACATACTTCAAATCACTCGGAAGTTGAGCGTATGCCGCCGTTTTTTTTCATTATTGTTATGTATTTTTTACTGTTGTGCAGCATTCAAATTGACCTATCATAATTTCGAGCATTTTTCTTTCGTTGTTCCTCGTGAATCGATTTCGTGCTTGGAGAGCAAAGTAGCGGCAAGAAGAAGAAAATGTTCGTCAATCGGGAAACAATAATTACGAAAGCAAAAAGTCACATTCTAAAATGTTACGAGAGTTACTAAATCGATGACGTTGAGAACCAATTACGATGAATTGGTCAGCATATGGCTTATGCGTGCAGACACGTGAGAGAGATGGAAGGAGGCAGAGAAATAGAGTGCGCGTGAAAAGTCAACATGTTGTGTGAAGAATTTCGGGCACAATCCTTTCATTATTCGTTATTTGCTTTACTTTTCCTTTCCATTGAACCAATTTTTGTCTCGTACAATTGTTCGACCCATAACATTTACATAATATCGCACATTTTCTCATTACTTTTTCATTTACTTCTGGTGTGCTTTCTTTTCGTACTGAATTTTTTTTTTTTTTTTGGTTTGCTTTCAGACTGGGTCATGCATCAGATTTCAAGCCACCGCAATTGCTGCCGCTCGTGAAACAGGCGTTTGAGCGTTCGGTCGAAGCTACAGTTGAGCGAAATCATATGGATGAACCGCATTACCATCATCAGCACTATTACATTGAGAAACCAATATCATCGGCAACAGTAGCAGCAGCGGCGAAGGCAACCGCCGGCATCATACAAAAGCCTAAAGACTATACGTACAAACCGCGTGTAGGCGAGATCTTAGTGAAAGATTCCGTTTTGTATAACGGTGATGCGCCTGCAAATAATCAACAACAGCATGAGCAGCTCACGATGGCAGCCACACGTCGTAATTATTGGCCATTGGTTGACAATACGGTAACGTATATTATTCTTATACTCTGGTTTTGTTTTGTTTTTGTTATTTTTTTGGTTCGCACCCGATCCAATAAATACTGAATGAAATGCATGGTGCATTTTGTGCTTGCTTCAATGTTTTTAGGTAACGAGCATTACGAGTAAGGCAGCTGCTGGTGCGAATGCAGTTAAAAATTTGCTCAAAGTAGGATTTTTCCATACATTTGACAATGTTAATGCAGCTGTTGAGCATAAAAAGCATAAAATTGCCAGTTACCTCATTCAAGCGGCGCAAGAGCATAAGTTTGCGCTGCAACAGGCAAAAGAAGAAGAAAAACATAAGCAACAATTGAAATTGGCCGCTGCAAATTTTGCTGGAGCAACTGGTGAAATTCCAAGTGGATTGCCGGTAACTGGTGGCTTAGGTGTTGGCCTAGGTGCTGGCCTAGGTGCTGGCCTAGGTGCTAGCTTAGCTAATGGTATCGCTAGTGGAATCGCAAATGGTATAGCTGCAGGTAATCTTGGAAATGCAATCGGTGGCCTTGGAGGCAATCTTAGAAATCAATTTCCATTGACAAATCAAATACCGCATCCTTTATTACCCCTTGCAAAACCATTACACCAGCTGATACCCTTAAAACAGAAATTAGCCCAAAATGTGGTACAACATTTGTCGAAGCATTTGAAGAAACCAATCAAAAAACCACTTGTCGCTCCGCCATGGATTGTCTACAGCAAAACCAAGACATTGCCAACGACAACTGTGTCCGAAGGTTATATTCATACATTCGACAACAAATATATGCCACCAAATTTCGATTTGCCGCGAGAGAGAAACCCATACGCTGATATGGGTGTAACGTCGTACAAACATTTCGAAGACACCATTCTAAAAGAGTTGGAAGAGAAAGAGGAGCGAAAAGTTGAGGCCACCATGCATACCCTGATCGACGATACTTATGTAGTGCAGGATTCATTGGAAGGTACAAAACCAGGTATCAGCCAGGAATGGCAACCATTCAATGCCCATGAAAATGGTTTGTTTACATCGTCTTCGAATAAACCAATTACGATCAGTAGTTTCACACAAAGTACCTTCGATCGGCCGTTCAATGATGTTCGGCCGGTTTGTGAGCACACCGATGAAATCGCCGTTCAGCCAACACTGTTCGTATTCCCGGCCAGCGCTGAAACTCAACTCAACGAACTACAGGCTGCATCGAATGAAAATGCGGTAAAAGTCAATTTGACCAATTCACCAGGAAATTCGACATCGAACAATACAACAACCGAGAAACCAAATTATCCGGCCTATTTCATAAAGCAACAACAGGAATTACGAAAATTGCAACAGAAATTGGTCAGTGCTACACGAACGAAGAGTCAATTTGGCAATAAAACGACAACGCCAACGATACGAAGCCGAGGACAGAGCCCATATGGCAGACGAACACATACTACAACCACGAGTACGACTACTACGGCCAACCCAATAACACCATCAACCGAAATGCCTGTCTACTACTTCTCGATGAATGGTACCGATGACGGCTTTCGGCCCATGTTGCCCAGCGAAATTAAAGCGATGAAAATAAAAAAAACCATTCGAATTAAACCAAACGATACGACTATCGTGCATACTACAGTTCGGCCAAAAACATCGTCGTCGTGGATCCAGGCACAAGCAAGTCATGTACAACTTTCCGTTGTCGGTGCACCGGATGCAACAAAACGTGGAGCCAAATCGATAGTGGCGATTGGCTCGAGAAACGATAACAAAAGCTCATACATACATCGCAAAGCACCGAAAAAACTAACCAAAACAACGTATAATAATGCTTCAAGTACATCAGCAGCAGCAGCAGCAGCAGTAGCAGGTAATAATTCACATAAAACAACAGTACCAAAATCAAATAATAAAAATACATTCCGCGGTTTAATAAAATTCAGTGATAGTCTGCACCAGTCACAAAAATAGCTATAATAGGTATAAAAATAAAAATTTGAAAGCAACTAAACGAACATACAAACAAACTCACAAAAATAGAAAGAGAGAGAGAGAGAAAGAGAAAAATATATATATATATTTGCAATTAGTTTCGTTTAAGTTCTTTGCACCGGCATCAAAGCTATCGGCTTGCGTGCATTTCAAAAACATTAACTCAAAAATCACTCTCGTGAAATGAAATCAACCATCTCACCTTTTTGTTTTGCGATTCCGCTCAAATATTTCGTAGAAACCAAACCGAATGATATAGATTCAGTTTCAGTGATTGTTTTCATGTTTGTTGTTGTTGTTTTTTTCGTAGAAGTTTTTTTTTTGTTTCGAAGAAAAGTATCTTTAATTTATGTGTTAAGATTAAATTTTTGTTTGTAAAATTCCATTTTTTTTTCTATCACCGTCGACAACAACAAAAACAGAGACGAATAAGATCGGCGTTTTTAAGCTATAAAAAATAAAAGCTAAAACGATAATTTATTTATTTAATGTTTATTAATGAGCGAAAAAATGATGAAAAGGCAAACGGCTAAAAGGTGTTGTACATTTATTCCGATACAATAAAAACAGAGGGATGCTTTTACACGGTCTTTTCTTTATAGCGGCTTTTTAGTTTACTTATTTCTGTGTATAAAATATTCAGGATGTCAGCGTAAGTATTTTCGCATTGATTCCAATTACTAAAAAATAAAAGTCAATCAATTCGCCGCAAAACTATCCACCGAATATAAGCTGAAATTGAAGCACAGATACGGGCCATTTACTTTCATCCAAGAGAGAGAATATGATGATGAGTGCAATGCCGTGTGTGATCTTCAACTAACCAAGAGAGTGTGAATAACACACAGTTTGTGTTGAAACAATAATTCATTAAACCATCATGCGCGCACTATTCGTGTCTTTGAAGCGATTTACTCTTTCTTCACCGTCTGATGCACGCAGAGCATTGAAGTTGCTGGCTATGTAGTGCTGCTGGTGAACAGATCTGTTTAACAGCAGCTATTGGTTGCGTGCATATTTGCTGTGACGCACGTTCGTTCATCTCTCGATTCTCACACACAGTGTTTGTCTCTTGTATTCACACGGAAAGACAAAGAGAAGCACATACAACACACGAGATACATCGTAAGAGACGCGTGCGTGCATGCACACACATAGCTGCCGTTCGTGTCTCGTGTGTTTCATACGCTTCTCTGTCTGTTTCTGTGTGAATGCAAGGGACAAACACTGCGAATTTCGTCAAACGTACCAACGAACGTCAAAGCAGAATTCAAATTCAACGGTTTTCAAATCAAACACTATGCAATCGAATGTTTCCAATGTTTGTGTTTTCTTTAATCAAGTGAAGAGGAGAAAAAGAACAAAGCCAATGAATGTTAAATTTATTTTTTGTGTTCTGTTTTTATTTGTCTCATTTTTCATTTTTTCATCGCACTGTCGTTTTTATTTTTGAATCTTTAACAACGAAAACAAATGAAGCGACTGTATTGTAAACAAATGAAGTATTTATTTTTATGAAAATCATGAACAAATCGATTAAACGATAGGTTAATTTAAAAATGACAGTGCGATGTAAAAATGAAGAATGAGACAAATAAAAACAAAACACAAAGAAAACAAATTGAGCATTAATTGGTTTGATATTTTTCTCCTTTGCACTTGATTAAAGAAAACACAAACATTGGAAACATTCGATTGCATAGTGTTTGATTCGAAAACCGTCGAATTTGAATTCTGCTTTGACGTTCGTTGGTACACTTGACGAAATTTGCAGTGTTTATCTCTTGCATTCACACAAAAACAGAAAGAGAAGCGTATGAAACACACGAGACACGAACGGCAGCTATGTGTGTGCATGCACGCACGCGTCTCTTACGATGTATCTCGTGTGTTGTATGTGCTTCTCTTTCACTTTCCGTGTGAATGCAAGAGAGAAACACTGTGTGTGAGAATCGGGAGATGAACGAACGTGCGTCACAGCAAATATGCACGCAACCAATAGCTGCCGTTAAACAGATCTGTTCACCAGTAGCACTACATAGCCAGCAACTTTAATGCTCTGGATGCACGTCTGTTGTTGATCTCTTTTCATCGCTAACATCGTCATTCTCATCTCTTCATTCAGAAAAATAATATATAAATATCACCATCATGCGTACTCACTGTGTGTGCTTTTGTTTCATTGCATTCCTTTTCGCTTTTTCTTGCTTTTCTTGCTTCGTTGCATTAATCAAATAGCTAAATGACTTAATCATTAGCTTAAAATCTATGTTAAACCAAATGGAATTCTCATTCTTAACTTTTCTTTTGTGTTTGTTCAATTCGTCGGGGAAACCATTTCGAAGATCATTTTCTGATCGAAGAATGTTTGTCTAAGCATTCGGATTTTATCTTAAAAAAAAAAACAAAATTATAATGAATGGATTCCATCAACAACAACAGCAACAATGAACTTAAACTTAAAGACCATTTATACCTTTCGGTGTCTGGCGATGCATACCATAAAATAAAAATAAAAATGATGGAACGTGTAAAAAAGCACATGATGAACTTTTGGCCACATCTTTCGGAAATAATTCTCCAAAAAATAAGAAAACTCAACTCAAAACCAAAATAATTAATTTACGTGCCGAATGAAAACGGAAAAGTTTCCATATCATACCATTATCGGGTTTTCATAAGTCGGAGTTTGATAAAGACGAGTGTTTATTGATGATACGAAAAGTTTGTAGATACTCGGATCAACCTGAGCCTTCCTTAGTGCTTGTTCAAGCAGTGTAAGATAAACAATTATTATTTCACTTAATTGTTTTCTTCGTTTTGCCAATCGATGGCAAAAACTTGAAAAAAATGATCATCATTATTCAAGTGATATTATGACAATCCTATGGTATCATTGGAATCCATAAGCACCTACCGCGTGAGATTTCCACAAAAGGCATTTTCAGTGGCATCAGTTTCTTTTTCAGCAGCACTTCGTTCATTCACCACACGATTTAAGCAAACCCTATTCACACAATGTTTATTTCAGCATTAAATTAAGCTCCAATTCAATTTATTCGCCACACAGGTGAATATTTTTTGGTATTTCGTTTACATTTGTATTGTTGTTGTTATTTTTTCTGATTTGTTTCATAAGATCGTGCAGCTCAGGGAATATACACAAAAAATTTGATGGAAAATGAAAGAAATTATGCGCTCTTACAGGGGAGCGAGAAAAAAAGAAAAAAACATATGAAAAGCAAAAAAAATCGTCAAATTTGAATATAGCGGACACACACTTTCTATACATTTTGTTTTAGATGGTTTTTCTGTTTTTTTTTTTTGCGTTCGCTCTCATTGTAGTTGTTCGTTTCGTGATCATTCATAAATGTATGCTCAAAAGACACAATCCACGAAACAGAAGATGAATTTATGTAACAAAAGTTTTTGGAAGATTATATTTCATACACATGTTTTTTCCATTTTGCTACTTTTATTAGCGTCTCATTTGGACTATTTGGACTGTCGCTCATCAAAACGAAACGAAAAATAAATTCGCTACACAAAGCATCACCTACAATTTTTGGTGCAACACATGCATAAGGCGCACAGTTTCTTTTGTAGCGAACGCTAATAGATTGAAATCTATTCAAATGAACCGCGTTTGACCATAATTTGTTTTCCACCTGTAGCACTAGATTATATGATTCCATAATTTGGAATTTTAAATTCAATTTCGCATTTTTATGCACTAAAATTTGGGGATTTTTCTCCTCTATTCATGGATTCTTTTGTGAGCGAATACGGCAAATGGTATACGTGCTCAGCAGAAGAACGAATTGATTTGAATGGAGGCAAAACACAGCACATTTTATGGATTTAAGTAGAAGTGATCGATGTGATCTTTTGTTTGATTTCCATAGCTAAACCATGTACTGAACAAGCAACGGTTACTTTATTTGATGTAATTGAAAATGTGGCCATTTTGTGGAGGAGTCATTTTTCTAATTACCTCAAAATGTTTCTCACAAAATTGTGCAATTATACCGTTTTGGTGTCAACATCATTTTCATTTTGCCGGAGAAAAAAAAAAACATAATTTGAACGAAGATACAAAAAAATCAAGCGGCTAACTTTTTATCCGTCCAAATATTTGTCATTACGAATGTGGCATGTAAATGGAACGTGCATTATTGCTACCTTTTATTCACCCTTTCTTCCAATCAAATTTACTAATCACTAATCATTCAATATTCAGATTCACTTTTTCAAATGAGAAAGAGAGACCGATCATCATCAATGAAAACAACAACAACAACAACAACAATAGCCGCAACAGCAATTGACAACAACCAAACATAAAAACGACCATTTTTATGACGATAAAAAATTGATTTGAATTCGAAAATTGAGAATTCCTGGGATATTTGATTGTTTCGTTTAATTTTGTTGGTTTTTTGCCATCTTCCCTTTGTTGTTGCTGTTATCATTTCGCTCGAATGAAATCGAAATGAAAGTGAAATCGATAGATTTTTTGCGTGAAGCAACAGATTTTTTTGACGTGCTTTCATCGAATTATTGTGATGCGTTATATGTTTTTTTTTTGGCTTTTTCTTCTTCTTCAGTACGCATATTTCATGCAAATATCGATGTTTAACGGCTTCATTTATCAATGCGCGCGCCAGTTTTGAACATTTCGATCTGTATAATATGGCTATTTTTTGCTATCAATTTGAATTTCAACATTTTATATATGAAGTTTTTTAATGTCATAATATGAATAACTTTATGTTGGTGTTTTTGTTTTCGTCGCTTATGTGCTACGATTCCAATGTGATATACACATGCCCTGCGAAAGTTTAATCACTTCCGATAGACAAATCACATCGTTTTGGAGATGGTACTTGATAACAGAGAGCCAAGAGAAGGGAATAGCTAAACATTTCTTCTTTCTCTGCGCGCTTTTATTGCCAGACCCAAGATTTATATTTTTCTTTGCACATTACACAGTTATTATAAAACTAATATATTCGCTGCGTGCGCACGATGGCTTGGCTTTTTGTTTCATTTCTACTCATTCAAATTGATTTCGACAGGTCGACGATTTGACTCTATGGTATCGTTTGCATTTTAAATCGTTGAACTGACAAAAAGTAGGCACAAATTCGAGGGAATGTCGATTTTACATCTTAACAACACTGTCCGAGACGTACCGGAAGTTTCCAAGCGTAAAAACATTTCAATTTTTCATAACAATGATAAAATTTCACCGTTAATGTCTCACCGATGCAAATGAAATCGGAAATTAATTTGCATCAAACTGTGCGATCATTGATCGCCGATCAAGAATGAAGCATGGAAGTGAGAGAAAAAATCCAATTTATTAGCTAAAGAATGTGTCATGCATCAGAACAGGAGTCGAATGTCATAATTGATTTCTATTTAAACATCATAATGACAAATTGACTAACATTCTTGTCGATTGAATAACGTTCAAATTGTAATTCACAAATGATACAAACCAGACTTATGAGTACATCCGAAATGAAAAGTTATATATTTCATAATAATTAGATGTTCTGTGTTACTTGTAGACGAACACATGTATGCCGCATTTATCAAGGGGCAGTTCCGGTGATTGTGACTGGTGTTGATTGATTTCAATATTTTATTAGCGGTCACTTTTGCCAAATGCACATTCACTTCTTAAGCTCCAGCGTCTTCGCCTTTTTTGCACTACGTGCTTTACATTTATTACATTGCTGTTGCTCTTTATTCCTCTCTCTCTCTCTCTCTCTCTCTCTCTCTCACACACACACACATAAAGTTCATTCTCTTTTGTGTCGAACAAAGAAAGCAATGTGATTATAGGTAGTTTGTATCCGCCGCTCCCGTAAAAATGCCATACTCCATTTTCTTCGTGCTCAAATTCATCACACAAAAAATAGATTGATTATGCAAGCATTGAGCATAGTTCGAGCTCATGACAATTCGCATGTTATAAAAATTATTACGTGAACCAATTAATATTTTCAACTTAAATCAATACTGATTATCACGAGAAGACAACCGAACATATGTCAAGTATTATGAATTTTCGGCCAAATTATTATGACGAGATTTTTGTTGTTGTTCAGCTTCTATTCGTCGACGTTTCAGGTCCGAACTGGACTATCAAATGGCATCAAACGAACCGTTAATGATTCAACTTGCGGCTATAAATGGGATTAGTAAGATTTTGTCACTTTTATCGTTCAAATGAAGTGCGGTGGAAATAAAAAATTGAGAGCTTTACATCATAATCCCTTGCGTGCTACTATTAATGGTATCAAAAGGCTGCCAATAACAATAATTGCCATCTGATTTACATGTTTGTGCCGCGAGCCCAACATATCGTTATAATTTTTTTCCCCATCGTCTCTAGCTGCTAGGTGCTTTCATCGAAAGTCTTTCATTCAATACTAAAGCGTAACATCTAACGTCTTTTTCTTTCTTCATCGAAAGCATAATAAAATTAATAAACCCGTTAAAATTATTTCGAAACCAAAACAAGATCCCCGGGAAAAAAAATTAGAGAAGCCCGAAAGCCTGGCAATGTACGCGGTGACTAGCTATGTGTGTATGATGCATTACTCATCCGAATGAGCCGATTATTGTTAAATTATGCACTCGCCTCGTCGCTAGTCTAAAGTTATATGAATATTATGATGAGTGTAAAGAAAGTCCTTTCGGTGTTTGCGATCAATATGGAAAAGAAGAAGAAGAAAAAAACCGTTAAGCGGATATATTGTGTGCGAATGCTTTGCGCATTCACCACGGTTTTTCGTTCGTTCGACTCTTCGTTTGTTTGGCTGTTCGTTTCGATCGCCCTGCCGCTGCGGGTAAAATGTGCACGCGGCTAAAAACATATAAATAAGCTGTACGACTTTTCAGCTCCAACATAACCAATTTGATTACAGAGTAGAGTAGTACATTCACCAAACTACTCACTGAAGCAGCGTGCAGCTTTTAACTTTCCAACATTTCACCCAAATTTTCCGCACCGAAGCCAAACCCACACCACGGATTTTGGATTTAAACGGTTTTCCGTTTCAACTCTATCTAAGATTGTGTGCAATTTGTTTTAAATTCTATTTCATCAAAAGCAAATCGAATCGGATTTTGTGCAGTTTTTGTCATTTGATTCTGTGTTCCTTTTCTGAGTGTGGTGAAACAGTTTAAAAGAAATTAGTTCGTTTGTTATATAGTCAAGAAGTGAAATAAAAAGAAGAAGTTGAAATGGCATCTGGTTTAGTAGTAAGTATCATCAGTTTGTGTGATCGCAAACCAATTATATTTAGTAATTGAGCAATTTAGCTGAACGAACGATAGTGTGTGAGTTTGAAAGAGAAAACAAGTCGTTTAAAGGCTAGTGAGCGATACATGGTAATTAATCGGATAACAAATGGTTTAGTTGAAAGTGTGCACCGCCCCCACAAAAAAAAAAGGACTAATAGTTTAAGTTTTCAAACACAATTCAATCGAGAAAAGAAATGGCAATGCAACTGAAATAAAATTGAAACGTCAGCGGTGTTGTTAATCCGCGACACTATTCCAAAAACAAGTGCATCGATTTTTCGTATCAAAACGAAGTAATTTCAATTGCGTGTTCGAGGTCGGGAACGAAAAAGATAAAAAGATCGCACCACTTTTATTTTGGCCATTGTGTTTTTGTTTTGAAAACGAAAAGAGAGAAGAAAAAAAAAAACAGACGAAAAACTAATTCAATTATTCAATTTGAATCATTCATATCAAATCGACCGTCGACTTTTATTTAAGCAGACGTTTAACTGCCTGAATGAAAAAATGAAGCGTAATAATAATAATGATGAGTCTGAGCGCAAATATGTTATTTTTAATCATTCTTTTTGCACGCCATCAACAATTATCGCCATCATCAGTTCACTCTCAAACTAAGTGAATCTGTCTTCAATATATTCACGAGCACAATGAACCAATTGCCAACTCAATTCCACTCTCAATCCAACAACCACTTGACTGAATTGCTTTGAGAACCAATTTAACATGCATTTAATTAACGCTCTTGTACTACATGCACCTGCTTTTGGTTCGAATGTGTATCGTAGCGCTGAATATCTTCAGTTTTTCTTTCTTTTTGCTGGTTTACTCGATGTTTACGTATCGTACGAGAAAAAAAATAGTTACATTGTTACTCTCAATGAACAAGCAAATGAAAGAATGAATGAATGAATCATAACACAAGGGATTCATTGTTACAATATACTCGCGGCATAAACACGCGGGTTATATTTTCATTTGTTTGACTCAAATCGATTTTTTTACTTTACGATTTAACGGAAAATTTATTTGGCCAAAAGAACAAGGTGTTATCGAAGTCGTTCATTGGCTTTTGAATGAGAGTACAAATGAACAGAGTCAGAAATCAAAGATGATCTATGATGATCAAGATGTTTCAACGGAATCATCGAGTTGAATCAAATCGGTAGAAATGACAGTTACATTTTCACACCTGTTGAACAAAGTGACTAAATTAAAAGCGTCAACTAGACCAATTTGTAGCTTGACAACAAATTCATTATTTTTTTCTTTTTATTTTGGTTTGAGTCGTCAATTATGATGCAACAAATGATAAACATAGATAAATACAATATTTATGTCTAACAATCCTATCGAGAAGAAAAATTTGTTTCGCCAGTTTCGGCTTCAGTTCGTCATTGAATCAATAAGGATAATTCATGTTGGAAGTAAAAGCGGGAACAATTGTAAACAAACAATTTAATTCACCCTAGAGATTCCATCATCATAAGTCACATTTTATAAGTTACGACGCTGTTCATCTCCCTCTGTCTTCCTTTTATCAATGTACATTGTACATGCAGTCTTTTGATGGCAAATTTCCCGGACATTTATACATTTAAGCCATATAAACTGTAAGAAAAACTTTATTCAGTGGATTATACATTGCTGAGAAATATGCATCGTTATGAATGAGACTCCACTCTATAAATCACACATATCTGTTATCCAATTCGTTGCGATTTAACCATATGTACATAAAAGATGTGTGGCGTGCGTGCGCGCGAGCACTGGGCTGAAGACACAAACGTGATTACTGGAATACACACATCTATATAAAGAAGTCAAACGCTTTGTGATGTCGACAAATGAATGTCAATTTAATAAGGTAGCGTTCGCCTCGATTAGCTACCAATGTTTTTGTGTTGCTGTTGATGTTTCGCCGTTGTTTCGTTTTTTTTTTCTCTTCAGTTGATTGTTACAGAGTGATTTTTTAAACATCCAAATTGGACCTTTCACTTAAATGAATGCGGTGATTTATCTGTTGTGTGTAAAAGTGATACGAACGAATGGGAAACGCACACAGATCGATTGCATATATAAGGCAAGCGCGGGCGCACGTTCGCACGATCATCGAATCAGAGCGCGAACGTTCTCTGTTATGTATTATGGAGTTTTCAAGCGAGCGAAAGAGGCTCTCAGACGAAAGAAAGTTAAAGTAAAGATTGTTCTTCGAGTACACTCACAAAGACGTTTTTTCGTTTTTCGTTTTTCATTTTGCGCTTGTAAGCGTCGGTCCATTCGAAGCAAAGACCAAATAGTGATCGCCATCGTGTGCTACGAGTGCACATACGCGTTATCAACCAGTTAAATACATATGTTAACATGATCTCGCTTTAAATTATTAACCAAATTACAATTCTTGTGTGCAGATCACGCCAGCAAATCTATCCTATCATCGAGAAAAAATCTCTGTTTTATTTATTCAGTGAAAAACAATTGTTTAACAACATTCGCGTCCAATCCAATTTTATTTATAGATAAGAAGCGAGAAATTCCGATGGAAATTATTATGCTAAAACGAACAGACAAAATAGTAACTCAAGACAAACATGCAACTCCGAACATTCGTCTCTTTTGTTTTTTTTTTCATCTTTGTTTTCGTGTTTTTTTCTCTCTTTCTTTTCTATGCGCTAAGTAGCGCATTTTTCGGCAAATCTTATGTCAAAGTATGTATGTAGATCACATAGTCAACGAAACCGAACAATAATATAAACAGAGATTTATTTTTTATTCAATTTTTGTTTCTTCTCTCGAACAAGTGAAAGACTAATAACAATAACGACGGCCAATGAAATCACTTTCACCGGTCCATGCGACATACACAAAATACACGATTTAATTTTTGATTCGTGTTACATATTTTGGTTTCTCTTTCATTCATCAAAGTCGCTTCTTTCGTTGCTATTTTTTCCTCCTCTTCCTTCTTCTTCTTCCCAAAGTTTGTTAACGAAAAAAAAAATTCCATCCATTCATTGAGTCATATCACTTCAACTGATCTAATGTTTTTTTTTTGCATAATTTAGTTCACAGTTTTATTGTCGATAGCGACATTAGGGCAGGCTGGCTACTCAAGCGGTGGATATGGCAATACATTCAGTAGCCACGGACATGGTTTCTCCGGTTTTGGTGGCAAAGAACAGTAAGAATTACGAGATCATTATCTATATGTAATTGAGAGAGTTGTCACGCTCATGTACTTTTGTTTATTATAGCGTGCACATTCGCATTCACATTCCTGAAATTGTACACAATACACACAGTACAAATGAAGTTCTCGTTGGACATGGCGGCGGTGGTCATGGGCACGGGCACGGGCATGGTTATAGTGGCTCTTCGTCATCAAGTTTTCCCGCCGAACTAATTGGGAACATTATTGGCAATTCTGCGGTTCACAGCGGCGGTCACTATGCTCCATCACATGGCGGTTATTCACACGGCAGCAGCTTAAGCCCAGGTAAAACGGAAAGAAAATTTCAAATTATCTTTTAAAATGAAAATCAATATGATCCTTTAGTAACGTTTGACTTCAAATATCAACAATTTAATTCAAATTCTCCTCAACTTGTTCTATTTGCCAATTTTAGCTGTTATTGGGGCAATCGTAAGCGCTGCTACAGGTGGAAATCGTGGAAAACATGGCGGTGGCGGTGGTCACGGTCATGGCCCAACCAAAACAATCATCATCAAATCGAGTAATTTTTTTTCTTCATTCACTAATTAAATTTTGACACGAGCTCAGTGCAATTTTTCCATCTAATGTTCGTTATTCACATGGAATTAGTTTATTGCACTGAATGAAGTAACAAATCAAATCAAAAATATAAATCCAAAAGAAAATACGAACGAATCACTTGATTTGCTATACATTGTATAAAACCGTTGAGATTTTATCGTGTTTCCATTGTGTACCATTGAAATCATGTGTATGATTCTGATCCGTGTTTGAAAAGGCGGATATTATTTAAATTGCCTCATATATTAGCAACAAAGTTACGTTGGAGTTAATTATTATTGTTTGACAAATCGCTTTAATTTATATTTGTTAGGCGGAAGACACGGTGGTAGCAGCGGCGGTGGACACTATCATGGCGGTTCAAGTCATGGAAGCTCACTTTCACCTGGTCTCTTGGCCGCAATCAGTGGAAAGCATAGTTCGCACGGCAGCTATGGACACGGTAGCAGCTATGGATACGGTGGAAGCAGCCATGGTGGAATCGATACAGCTACTATTGTTGGCGCAGCTCTTGGCGGTAAGTGTTGAAAAATTGAAATTTACATTTGATAGTTTGCATTGGTCTGCGGTTTTTATGGTCATTTGCAAATGCAGAGCAATTTTAAACAATATTGACCGATTCGTAAATTGATTAAAGCATTTAAATTCTAATGAAATAATCACGTGCGATTATATACTTGTTCGATTAAATCGCAACTAACGCCTTCTCACTCACAACAACAACAGCTTCTCCTCACTTTCGCTTCGTTCATGTTTAGTTTATGTAGTATGTGCTAATTTTGCAACCGTATTAATTTGCAATATTTAATTGTTGTTTTCGTGCTGTTGATTTTAGGCGGTTCACATGGTGGTTATAGCAGTCATGGTCATGGTCATGGTCATGGTCATGGTCATGGATCAGGAGGCATCGACGCTGGAACAATTGTATCGGCTTTGAGCTCGGGCGGTGGACACTCACACTCGCATGGACACTCTCATGGAGGCTCTTCAGGTATCGATGCCGGCACAATTGTATCAGCTATTAGCGCTGGTGGTCACTCGCACTCGCATGGAAACTCGTATGGAGGCTCTTCAGGTATTGATGCTGGAACAATTGTATCGGCTTTGAGCTCAGG